GTCCATGATTGTAGATTATAAGGTGAAATAAGGGCTAGAATGTTTTGCAACAACTTACGGTATCGCCATGGCAATATAACGTGGTGCAAAACTTTCTACTCCTCTTCTAGGAATAAGCTCGAGACATTTGGAAAATAGGGTGCAACGCGATTGGAAACAACATTTTCTTTAGCACTAGTAAAGAAATTTTACCATAAGTCCGTCAGATACCAAAATAGTATTTCAATCCAGTCACGCCGAACTATCGAAGAAATTTCTTAGGTGGGCAAAAAAGTGGTTTATACTGCTCAAAATTGAATGATGAAATATTTTTCACCTTAAATTATGGTCAAGTCTACTTTGCATACTATGAGAGTAAATCATTTTCAGTATAATTGGCGTCAATTTCCTGACACTAAGTATGTGGACAGTGCGAGAGTTGAGCGCATACTTATCGCCCATAGTGACGAAACAGGACGGCTACTAAAGTATGAAAAATTGTTATCCCTAATCAAGTATTTGATGTGTCACTTTTCTAGAGAATTGAGAGCGGCTCTGGAACGAATGTTTCGAAATCGTGGAATTCTATGTAACAAGTTTGAAAGTGTATGTATCAGAAGAGGAAAGGAAGAGATGGAAAGCCAGTTGGAGGAGGTATTTTTATTTGACTGAGATTGATTTCTGTACGTGTGAAGTTCCAATTTTGTATGTGAGCTTCCGAGCCTTTCTAGGTCTTCAGAAAGAATAAAGGATCAAAGTCGCTTCTAATTATCTACATCGATAGTGCTGAAAGCAAGTCGCATGGTGATTTTCTCCCATATGAATTTTTTGACAAGTCTATATGGTTCTTAAACAGACTTCCTGAAGTTAATGGAGCGCAAATACTTGATTCGAACTCAGCAGATAACCGCTGAGCTGGCTGAGAGAATAAAAGGGTGAGTTGGAATTTCAAATTTGGCTCGTGGCAGGTTCATACATTTTTTAAGGCAATCTGTATCTTGTGCAAATTTCGTGTCGAAGACGAATCTCAAGCTGGGCGGTATCAACTACAACGTTATTCCTGAATCATTTGCGTTCGTTGTTCAGCCACCTTCTTCAATTTAGCTTTTGTCGAAAACGAGACTTTTTAATCTTGCAGGAAAAATCGATGGATCGCTAACGGTAAAACTTTAGTCGTTGGCTACGATGTTGCTCATCCTGGAAAACCAACGCGAGATGAAGT